AGAATAACCTAACAATACCCCAAAAAATAACTCAACCGTAACCTTACAACACCCAATACCCCAAAAATAACTTAAAAATACATTCACCTCTGCAACATTGAAATTATTAGATGTAGTCATCCAACAGTTCAAACAGTCATCCCTGCAATATTCAACATATAAAACATGTAGTCACAAACATTCAACCTTGCAACTTTCAGCACATCAAACATACAATCATTCAATAGTTCAAACATTTAGCCCTGCAATAAGATATCAAACAAATATACATTCCACATTTCAAACACAATAGACAATCATATAGACCAAATCCGAGGCATATAAGCCTGCTAAATTTCATAGTCCTTCAGCCTGTAAAACATAAAGATAATCAAAGTTATGAGATAAATTTATCCTCCAAATAATTTATATCTACAGATTTCATATACTAGCTCTGCCCTAAATCGAGGCATCTCAGCCTGCTAGTCTTGATGACCTTTCCATTTAATCTTGCTTTTCTGTACAACTGCTTCTATATATTTACAAACAAATATACCGCAGTCGATGTTATTACTTTGTGTGGGAATGCCTCTTATTGTGATAACATCCCAATTACTCGGGTCACTACGGAAAGCTTTCCCGACGTCCTTACGAAGATGTCTTATGTGGTAATACAAATAGTAGTTTAAAATAATGAAAGAATAAACAGTTTATGTCAGTTGTTAGTTAGATAAGGCTTAGAATTTTACCACGTCGCGAGTGACTCCCAAATGCATTTTATTAGGAAATGAATCGTAGAATCTCCACTTGCGGTCCTTCTGGTTTCCAACAAGTAAAGTTCAATGCTTATTATTAATTATTGGAACTAAAATTGTGTTTGCTTGAGATACAGCTTCCATTGTGACGCGAGCAACAATATCTCACATAGGATGGTATCTAAACCCCTGCATATACAAAATAAATGAGTTTAAAAGAGCATGGACAACTAAAATTGATGAGAATTTCATTACTTACCCAATGTGCCGGAGAGACGTACAAATAGGGTCTAAGAGAATCAGGGGACTGACATCTACGGTTATCTAATCCAATGACAAACATATCTACATGTTCGACCCCAACTTCTTTATTATCCCAAAGTGCTTCAAGGTCATTTCGACTTATATGAATGTGACCCTGAGCAATTATTATGTCATCCTTGCATATTGATTGAATAATTTTTATTAGATTTAATAAACAGTTGACAAAAAAGTGTTCTATTTTTACATACCTTTCTTTGTACTTGTTTAAACAAGTATCCATCACCTCTTGCATGTGTGATGGTAATAATTCTCTGCCGGGAAACTCTACAGTTGAACAAGGAGGGCACCTTCGTATAAAACAATTGCTCCCGACTGTACCTCCTCCCAAGCTTCTTCAGCCTCCTCTTCCCTAGCTTCATCGAGCTGTGGAGATTGTATAATAATCAGCGTAGAAGAATCATAAATATGTTGTACTAAATCATCTATCTTAGAGGTCGGAAGTTCTTCCATTTTCTTTCTCTTGACAACAACAAATGAAGAACTAACTGTCCTCTTTTTTCTCGATCCTCTGAACTTGATCATTCGGACTAAGCTACCAATTAGGTCTTTAGAGATGCCTTCTCCAGGTTCCCTGACACTTTTACTTATTTCGCTATTAGCTGCAGCTTCATCGAAGGCAGCAATTCTACCTATCGGTTGTTCTTCTTCAAGAATATTGGGCCCCCACTTCTGTTCCCACGCTTCCTCAATATGAGCAGGTGGTTGTTTTTCCTTTTCTGAGCTTTCTTTCTTCATAGTAAATTCAGAACCTACAAGAGATTCCATTTGAACTTTATTTATTTTTTTTCTGTATTTCCTTGATGTCGGTCTTCACCTCCATCATTGTATACTCCATACTAGCTTTTAGGTTATTTACAGAATTCTTCAATTGAAATAAAATTTGTTGTTGCTCCCTCAGAGTTTGTCATATCTCTTCAAAACCCAAATGTGAATGTGTAGGTGGTGGGATGTTGCGAGTCTGTACAACAGGAATAGCACCATGAGACTCTAGTGTTGTTGGATGAGTGTAAATTTTAGGTTCTCCAATGAACTTTGCAGGAGACGAGATCTAGCCAACTAGAGGGGCAAGTAAACTGTGCTCCTCGTCTATTAAATCAACAAAAGAATCAAGAACCTACAAAAACATTCATTATAAGAATTAAACAATATACCTAAAACCTAACATAATCCTGAACTTATAACAGACATTAATATCATTCACCTGTACAGGACTAAGCTTCTTAAAGATTAAATGGATCCTTGGAGGGTTCCACCCTGTATTTATTGGCCACCTCAACATTCGAGGTCTAGCGTCAGGATAAGCCGGGGCTATCACAAGTGTGCGCTCATAAAACCACAGCGCATAAATAATTACGATTAATAAATTAGAAATTCATATAACCCAAATAAGATAAAAATTAATTTTTTTGATTGAGGTTGAGCAATATACTAAGCATTAGAAGAAAAACAAACTCATTCATGTATCCCAATGGCTGACCCATCGTTATTTTGATGGCACAACCATTGGCCTGCTCAATTAGGTGGTCACATACTGTTGTGGCCCAATTAAAAGAAGAAAAACTATCTACATTCTCAACAAATGAATAGAGTCTTGTGGGTACACTAAAATTATTGGAAGGAAATAATAAATTAGACAACAAAAATTTAATAATAAGTTCATCAAGAGTAGCCGATGAACTCTCAAATAGTTCACTCTTTGTCCGCCTTGCATCTATATCATTGACGGGTTTTTTAGCTCAAGTTGCAGTAGAACCTCTGTTGGGCATGCCAATCAACAAAGCAACTTGGTTTGCATCAAAACTCAGCTCCTTCCCCCCCAATCTGAAAGCCAATCTATTCATATCCCAACAATTCAATAAGTGCATAGTTAGGATGTGATCTTGAGGATAAATGGGAGATCAAAAAACTGATTAAGCTTCATTCTTTCCAGATTTGACCATGTATCCTGAGAGACAATTGGCCGAACCTTATCTGAAACCTCTCTAACTGCTGATGGGCAGCATCTACAATTCATTGACTGCTTATTCATCAACTTACAGGAACAATATGCATGTTATTAATACTGACAATAATCCAGGAATAACCTACGAATACCCTACAAATAACCCAAGAATAACCTATGAATAACCTAAAAATAACTTACAAATAACCTAAAAATCACCCAGTAATAAACTATGAATAACCTATGTAGAACTTAAAAATTAATAAAACAATATCTTAAAAATAACCCATGAATAACCAAAGAATAACATACGCATAACTTAAAAATAACCTACAAATAACTCAGGAATAACCTACGCATTACTTCAGAATTAACAAAACAATACCCTCAAAATAACTCAGAAATAACCTACAAATCACCTGCGCATAACTTAAAAATCACCTGCAAGTAACTTAAAAATAACCAGGAATAGCCTACGAATAACCTGCGCATAACTTAAAAATCACCTGCAACTTAAAAATAACTCAGGAATAACCTGAGAGTAAACTAAAAATAACCCACGAATCAACTTAAAAATAACCAGGAATAACCTATGAAGAAATACAAATAACCTACAAATAACATAAAAATAACCTAAAAAAACGCATGATTAACCAAAGAGTAACATACGCTTAACTTACAAATAACCTACAAATAACTTAAAAATAACACAAATAACATGGAATAACTGCCAATAAGTAGTAAACTTCAGAATAACTCAAGAATAACCCAATAATAACTTAAAAATAATCCAGGAATAAACTGAAATAGTTGTCAATAAGTACTAAACTTCAGAGTAACTCAAGAATAACCCAATAATAACCTAAAAATAAACTAGGAATAAATTCCAAAATGAATGATGAATAACGCAGAAACAACACAATATTAACCGATTAACGCAGTAGTAACATGAGAATAAACTTCTAAGTAATCCATGTATAACAAAAAAAAACCTAAAAATAACCTAAGAATAAAACGATGACAATTACCAGGACAAGTTTTCCCCTTCAATGCCCTCCTTTATCCTCTTCGCCTCCTTCTTCTTCCTCTGCTTCTTTAACTTCTTTGGCTATTCAACCTCTGTCTTCTCAGCCTCTTCTAATACTATTCTTGAGCTCTTTTCGGCCCGCGCATACTCCGGATCATCAAACGCTATCGTCTTACGGCTTCGAAGCTATCGAACGAGGGAAATGTGAAATCCTAGCAGAGCGAATAACGAAAATGTAGCAGAAAAACACTAGCAGAAAGTATTTTTGAAACATCTTCTTCGACATTCTAAAAGGCGAGATACTCGAAGTTCCTACTCAAAGAGGCGCGGCTCGTACATCGGGCCGGGTTGGGTTTCAGCAAACTTTTTTTTTAAATTACGTGGACAAGCAGGTCCCACATTTTCCAAGCGGCCAAATTTAATTGGCCAGCGTACGTTGCGGAACGGCAGGGCTCCTGTCCGAAACGAAAAAACGCTTCTGAGTGAGGGTGACGATCCTATTGATTTTCTAGTTTCAAACTTCTTCTCCTGTGCAAATTTCAACTAGAGCAAAGGAGAACGAATCGAAACAGAGAAAAGGGAGGAGGAGAATTTCTTGAAACAGTAAAAACTTGGAAGAAGATGCACTCGAATCACCTTGGGGAAGCCGACGAGATAGACACGAGTGATCGAGGCGAGAAAGGGGAGAAGGAATCCTCCGCCACGGAGAGATCTATGTGAAACACGAC